GCAGTTTTTAGCCATAATTTTGCCGGTAAAGTCTTCCAGGTTTCTAAATTAAATATCAGAGATTATTTTTTAATTAGAATATAAGCACTGCAGTGTTATTTGATTATGGCAAATTGTGATTTGTATGCTTCTAAATGAAATTATGTTACAGATAAAATTGCACCTTTATACACATATTTTAAGCTCTGTAGATTCTGTGGGTTGACTTTAAGATGAGTGGCAGTACTGTATTTACAATGTATTTGTGCCACTGCGTTACTGTTTTCTCAAAGTCTGTATTTTGCATAATGGTTTCCTAGCAAATAAAGGAAGTATAGTCCGACCCAGTGTATATTAAAATAGTTTCAAAGACTGCTATTTGGCACTGGGAACTTTCAATGTTGGCTGCTTTCACCCTAATGTTTCTGTTGCACACCCTTGTTTTGATAACTTCTTTTGCTCAGTTAAAGAAATGACCCAAATTGTCAGGAGACAGCAGATCGTTTGCGGTAGGCTGTACCCAGTTGCTGTACAAGGTATTGGCATTCGATTGCAAACATGTCCAAAGCAGACGTAGAGAAAGCGTGAATGTTGAATACATGGAACCATTCCCAGGTCTGCAATGCATTTGCTAGATGTGAACATAAAAATGATTATTTTGCACAAAGACTTGCATTCAATTTTAAGCTTATGAAACCATTACTCAACCAGTAATCACTCACAGTTTGTGTTCCTTCTGATAGAGTATTTATGTTGAAGAAGTACGGCCGGGCTCTGAGGCTGGCACAGCACCAAGGGGGGGAAGCCCTCTGTAGTCACTACATTGTCCAGATTTTTCGGTTTGGCTCGGGTTTGCCTCGGTACGGAGACCTCCGCTTTGGCTGGGTTCCCTCGGTTAACCCCCACTCCGCTTCCCCCTCTGAAAGATCTCGTGTTCCTCAAGTATTTTCGAGATCTTTTGTGTGCATTCAAATGTGCTTCTGTCAATGGCGCTGTTACACTGTTTAGAGTCAATAGCTCCCTTCCATCACAGCCAACACAAACTAGCTGTCTCATAGGTCAGTGCTCTTTAAACAAATTACTTGTATCCACAGAGCAAATGATTGTTAATTGCCTCCCACAAATCATACTATTTTTACTATGCTAAACTACATGCGAATGCCTTAGTTAAATTTAAATCACCTGATTATTACTTGTACGGATTCGATTGTTCTTCTTAGGTATGAAATCTGGTGACTTTGCCAAACGAATGCTCAATATATATATAATGGATACAGGACTTTATTGGAAAGCCTTAAAAAAAAAAAAAAAAAAAAAGTACGGTTACATTCATTTTAATGAAATCCTCAGCATTTCTAATTCATATATATTGCATTTCCTTTTTTTTTAAGTTCTGTTGTCCTGAAGCAACTTACAGTCACTGTTATTACAGTATCGGTTATTTATTGATCGGACCTCGTGTCCGTATCGGTTGTTAGCAAGCTGAAAAAAATCAAGATAGAACAAATATTCTTGCCCTTTCTTCAAGATGGGTCTTTCTAAGTCAGTCAAAGTTAGCATTAAAGAGTCAAAACCAGAAAGTGTCTCTGTTAATATGTTAAACTGCTTTATTGTGCTAGACTAAAACATATGTTTCTTAAAACAGTAATGTCAAAAGGAAAGCGATTCCGGTTAACTGTCTTTTCTTATAAAGAAGGTTTTTCAGCATGACATACATTTTTAATTAATAGGGCAACGCTAAACATACAGGAATGATTTAGTAGCATCAAGTCAATAGCATGTTGGATAATGTATATTATATAATAGCTCTTTTTTAAACAGTAGCAATTCCAGGTTTATCAGGGTCATTGTTGTCCCCTTTCTTTTCTGTCTCAAAGGAGGCCAGAAGAATGAGACATACCATTTGTGCTATTGCACAAGTAGACTATTTGTCCTAATCAGTGACACCCATTTACTAGAATTGCTTAAAATGAACTATACCTCATACAGAAATCGCACATTTAGAGTGTTCCATTCATCATCTGAAAATTGAGGGCCAGTAAACTTTTCTGTTCCTCCAGCGGGATCATAGACATGCATCAAAATGTTAAAAAATGATTGGTGAGAGAGAA